TGCCAGCTGGATTGGAGGAAGTGTGTGTGTCTGTGAGCTGACAGTTAGATGACTTAACCACCTCCCAGCTGTTAGAAGTCTCGTTAGGGAGGCTGACTTCAGAAGAGAGGATGCGGGAGGGCTGAGCTGACACGAGCCTGTTTTATTTCTTGTCCTAAATCGATGGGACTAGTGACTCTGCCTCCCTTGGGAAGGAGTGAGCTGTGGGCAGAACCTAGGAGTGTCACTGGGTGAGGCCCCTGGAGGAGACGCAAGGAAAGGATTGGAGGTCTCCCCCAACAGTGGGATCCGGAAAGGACTCTGGATGGGGTAAAATTGAGCTACTCGATTTAGAAGAGGTGTCATAGAGACACAGTGAAACCGCAGGCCCGTGTTACATACAGGCACCCATTGTAAATCTGACCCTTCTTCCGCTTGCCCTAATTCCTGGCTCACCAAGGATTCTCTCAGAATGACCTTTTAGACTCTTGACGGCTGTCATTTCCACTGACGTGTCTTTGATTCTTTGACTTGACCCAGCAAGCGGAGGAGGAGAACGAGCTGAGGAAGAAGCAGGAACAGGCGCTCATGGAGAAGCTCCTGGAGCAGGAAGCTCTGCTGGAGCAGCAGGACCCAAAGGTGAGGGTGCCCAGCCCTGCCCTGGAGGCTCCTGGGGGCGAGCAGGAGAGACGGGCAGCAAGCCGGCTTGCCTAGGACCCTTGCCGCTTCCTCCTAGGGCCCCGCAACTCGGCAACTGGACATTTGCTCATTCATTACTTTGTGCAGCAAGAACTTGAGTGAGGCTAAGAGCATGTTCCTGTAGCACTCCTGTTTACAGAGATCTGGGACGCAGAGCTTAGCTCGTATACACTACAGAGAGGCCGTGTCGGATGATTGCGCTGCTTGTATCCAGGGAAGGCCTCATGGGATGCCACTGGTGCTGGCCCTGCCGGCTGCAGGGCTTTGCCAGGAAGAATGGGGTGGGGGGTATTCCGTGAAGGGAAGCATCGTGTAAAGATCATAAAAGGCCGCAGGTCAAAGCGTTCTTCACCTTGACCCTTTGCAGCCAAGTTTAAGAAGTCAGTGGTTCTCACCATAGGACCCAACCTTCCCATTGCCGCCGGCTGGACTTTTGTGCTCCTCAGTGAGTTTGTTTTCTTCCCAGAAGCTTTCTGTGTTCCTCGGGTTGAGCACAATGTGGGCTGGTGCTGCTTGTGTGTTTGGTGGAGGCTCAGACACATTTTGGATTTTCTCCAACCTCCGATGGGTGCTGGTCCCACTAATCTCTCTGCCTTGCTTCTTCTCAGTCTCCTTCTCACAAGTCAAAGAGGCAGCAGCAAGAATTAATTGCGGAATTAAGAAGGCGGCAAGTTAAAGATAACAGACATGTGTACGAAGGGAAGGATGGTGCCATTGAAGATATTATCACAGGTAAAGGACACTTCCTCGTGGTGGCCCGTGGCGATCCCGCCGGCCTCGCCGTGCCGGCCGCTTGCAGATTTCGCCTCTGCTTGTCCAGGGTTTCCAGTTCTTCAGTGACTTTAATCAGACCCAGAATTGTGCAGAGACTCTGCTAGCGTTTGAAGTATATTATAGTAGCCCGTGTACGCCTGTCAGAGAAGCCCACCAGCTCTCTGGAAAATCTCATTTCTCAGTATCATTGGGGGGAAATCTGATTTCTCAATATCATTGGGGGGAAATCTGATTTCTCAATATCATTGGAACCCTTTAGATTTCACCAGGGCTCCTTCTCCTAATGGTTTTCCATTGTCTTCCATTTGTCCCATACTCCGTTTCCTTCCTTCCCTGGATAAAGGCTATGGCAAGACCCATTCGGGGTCTGTACTAACACTAACCACAGTCATTGCGGATGTCTCCAACTTGCTCTGTAACAGCTTCTCCACTCCTTTCAGGGAACTGAAGACAAGCGCGAATCCGGGGCTGGTGCTTCCATTCAGAAGGGCCAGTGGGCTTCCAGCCCAGGGCTGGGGAAGGGCTCCTTGTCAGCCAAGAACGGTGCCTGACCCAGCTTGGTTCTTGCTGATTAAGTCGTAGCCTAATGCTTTCTGCTGGAACCAATTCTGTAGAGTTTCTGCCTTCCCTCTCAGCAGATCAGACAGCAATTTGGGCCACTGGCTTGTGGCCATGGCTGGAAGTGACGTCCCTTTCATGTCTATTGCATATGGATCCTATTTATCAGCTTCCAAGATGCTTAAACTTTTTATCGTGAGAAATATTTTAAATATGAAAAAGTATGGAGAATGTATGATGAGTTCTCGTGTACCCACCACCCATTTACAATTTTCAGCTCAGGGCCAGCCAGTCTTATTACATGCCTGCTTCTACCTATTCCCCATCCCCAACCTCTGGGATTATTGTGAGGCAATTCCAGGACAAACAGTTTCATCTGGAAATATTTCAGTATGAACCTTCGAAAGATAAGGACTCTTTAATAAAGCAAACATGCCCATAGCACCATTACCAGACACCTCCTCAACTATTCCTTGATATAAAATATCTAGTCATTATTCACATTTCCCCAACTGTCCTAGTTTTTACAAACCCTTAGACGTTTTTAATTCTTCCGCTTTTGACGTCTCATTTCTTGTTAAAGCTTAGTCAGCATTGTAAATAAGGATCCCAAACTGCGGAAACCACAAATGTTTCCACCTGCTCAGACCCAAGGCAATACAATGCTAAAACGGAAGCCAACGAGGAGTCCCTTGCCCAGAGTTAAACACAGAGTCAGTTCTGAGAGGCTGGTGAAGGTGCCGTGTCCGTACACGGTACAGACGTGTTCTGTGCGTACCTGCCTGCCGGTACCTCCGGCTCCCCCTGCAGGGAGCTGTGGCTGCTCCCAGATAAAGCCCCTGTGGTTTAGCGTCTCTCCTGAGGGAGAAGCTCTGCTCTGAGCAGGACCAGGAACGGACCGCCTCGGGTAAACGCCTCTGGCCTCAGTGCTGCCGGATTAACTTGTTACAGAGACGCATCCAGACTCGCACATTGAGAACTGGGGTTCCTTTTCATTAGTCTGTTCTCCATCTCAGTGACTCCTGGCTTGTAAACTGAGCAAAACGTATAGTTTTTATCCGCCTGACCTAATCGTTGATCTGTCGTGGGAGGGGACAGTGCTTATCTGCCTGTGGAGCATTCCTGACTGTCCTGGGGAGAATTTCCATTTTGTAACCCATGACCCACCCCAGAGTGAGTAGCTTAGATTTGATGAGCTCACTTGGGTATGTTGCTGCTGTCCCCCTTTCCTGCCCACCCCCCCCGGTATGATTAACAAAGCACTAACTGTGTACTAATGCCATAGATCTTGGCTTCTTACTCTCTTCTGTTTGTCCTGTTTGGCTGTCGTTTTCAATGCAGTGCTGAAGACTGTGCCCTTTACTGCTCGCACCGCCAAGCGTGGCTCTCGGTTTTTCTGCGAACCTGTTCTCACTGAGGAATACCATTACTAAACTATTACTCTTTCTCACCTGATGCTCTGAAAAAGGTTGCTACAGATTTTTTTTTACCTCCTATCACCCTTGTATGTCTGTCTGTCCGGACCAGCATGGAACTGCCATCTTCATGTGTTGTGTCATATGTCGTCTTCATGCTGCACGGTTTTGCATTTCAGCCGTAACTGCTTTCTCACTGGCACTCTCAATACATCTGAATCCATATTGCTGTGACAGTCTGGGTGTGCGTGAGTTGAATGAATGGAATTGCTTGCAGAAATTTTCAGAAAAGTAGTAAATAGAGCACTTCTTTGAGAATCAGGATTGGGTCCCACTACGTTGCTTACAAGATTTTTAGACTAATATATTTGAACAAAAACTAATAGTCATTAATAATAATAGCTACTATACCTAACATTTATTGAGCGCGCACTGTGTTCTAACAGGTTTACAGATATCAAACCAGCCTTTATTTTGTACTCGTTTCCCATGCTTTGATTGTATACAGCAAGCATGTCAAGCTCAAAGGCTAACCACAGGCCAAATAAACGAGGCATGCAGCCTGCGAATTTGACATGCTTGGTATATAGGCACTCAGAATGCAAAGTGCTCTAACTTGCAAAATGGTTTTCAGAAGGAACTGTGAACTATGCACAGCTGTAAACTGGGCCCTAAGGGTTTTATGCATGATAGTCATCATCCAGTGTCACGGGGAACATAGTACGAGCTTAACCCAGAGAGGCCTTTGACCTAGAAGCCTGTATAAGCTGACATAAGGCAATCCATAGCTTTATACCCACCCCTCCTCCCTCTGAGTTCAGTAATCAGCAGTTCCGTGTTGCAGTAAGGCTGTGAGGCAGGAGGTGAAAACCAAGGCTCAGGAGCCCCTCACTGTCTCATCTTGTTCATGCGACTTCACTATGTTCCATGTCAAACCAGGGCATTTCTTCTGTGATGAGATTATATCTGGGCCTGCTTCTTTGGTCAGGATGGTGGCACCAGAAATAGCAATTACCTATCATCAGAAAATGCCACCGAATTAAAAAAAGAGAAAGAAAAAATATTCCCAAGAAGTCACGGCCTGGGCGTAGATCCCGTTGCCTGGATAAGAACAAATTTCTCTGCAGTGCCCGGTTGACTAGAGAAGAGACTAGGGCTGCACACAGTCTCATCGGCCATTGCTGTGGTTGGACTCCATGCCGAGATTGACATGGAACTGCTGCGTGTTTACTTTGTGGCATGAACTCCTCTGTAATCACCTTATGTATGTTCCTCTGTCTCTGAAGATGTGAAAGGATGTGGTGTGTGGTTCCTGCTCTGAGTGTACTTACCCACCAGTGCTTATTAACAAGGCTAGAAACTGTTACCTCCTTGGCTATTGTTGACGGTCAGTGTTGCTCTTGGACTGTCATTCTGGAGCCAGACTTCAAAGCAGCTTGGATCTGGGTGGTCAGCGACCCGGATGGGAAGAACGCTCATCTCCCGTTTTATCTAACAACCTCTTGTAGTGATGGCCTCCCACCCTCACCCTCTGTTGGCTGACATGCCCGGGAATGTGAAGCACTAAGTTGAATTGCTTTTCATTTTCATCCCATTTTTATTTAACCATCATTTTGTGTTTTTGTTTTTTTTTCTGTTTAGCTTTAAAGAAGAATAATATCACTAAATTTCCAAATGTTCACTCGAGGGTAAGGATTTCTTCTAGCACACCGGTGGTGGAGGATACACAGAGCTGGCAAGCATCACTTTTTACTTAGCTTCCTCCTCTCTCTGTATGCAGATCAGTAGTTTCAATCTATGGCCCAGGGTAATACTGGTGAGAGTCTACCAGGGAGGTCTTTGTATCTCACTATCAGTGATGTGAGGCCAAACCTCTCTGTTGGACTCTTTCTGGCCTGCTTCCGTATTCTCACATGATGGCTTGGGCAAGGGTTTTGCTGATTATTGATTGCTTTGGGTGGTAGGCTGTCCCTTACCCCTTCTTAGCCTTTGAGTTATTCAGTTAGCCACATTTTTATCTGAAGAAATCGAGAGCCAGTCCTGGCCAGAGAACACGATCTGTAGCCTTTGGAGAAGGATTAGGATCTTTAAAATTAATTGCTCGGAGGGCTCAGGAATCAGAGAGGCCGGTCCCTGCATGCCCTTAGCCAGAAGTGGGATTCTAGCCTTCCTACCGCTCTGTGCCAGGAAGCAGTTTCCGGAGGGTCAGGGTATGCAAACCTGTGTTTTGCTTGCACTTAGGAGTAGGGCAGGGTCACAAAGCCCAACAAGCCCAGAGCTGGTGAGCACTGTGCGGAAGGAGGGCACCGTCTTGCACTCGACTCCAGCTTGTGTTTGCCTACTGAGAGTTTGGGCCCAGTATTGCCAGATCCTCCAGTTTTCCAACCAAAGTCAGAAACCTTGACTTTTATGTCAATTACAGGTTTAAATATCAGGCAACTGTACTTAAAAATGTAAGTCAAGGTCAAACATCCTATTGTTTTTGTGTTTCTCCTTCTAAAGGTAGAATGTTTCCTAACAGAAATAAAAAGTACTAAATTAATAAAAGGAAAATGTATAAGCAAAACAAGGGGAAGAAGTATGAAGCCTGCTTTATTTTTCCCTATATCCTGACTCCATCAAAAGGAAAGCATGCTTCATACTTATTACTCAAATAAAATTCCTCTTGTTCATCCCACGTTATCCCTCCAGAGCAATGCCTGCTTGAACTAACATGCAACGAGGCATTTTTAAAATAATAGGCATTCCATTCTGCTATGCATTTGCAATACAAATTGGAGAATGCAGGAGGGTCCATATAACTTCTCCGCTGTAATGAAAAACCAAAAATATTGGTGGCAGGAAAGAATGTTCAGGAATAGAATATTATTTTGATTGAATGATTACTTTTATTTAGTAGTTAAATTGAGCATTGTTTCTAATTCACAAAATAAAAAACTGACCCCAGCTAATAATAATTTAAAAAGTGGAATCTTTGTCTGCGAACTAATTATAGTTCTTCCTTGATTAAAATTGGGATAAGATAGGACAGGACAATCGGTTTTATTAGTTTTGCAGTTTAAATTCATTGTTGTTTATATTTAGGTTTCCAGAAAGAAAGAAACACCTAAGCCATAGCGATTTCCAGTTGAGGAAATGTTTCAAAGTAAGACTTCAGCTAGACCCTCCGGCCAGTGACAAAAGCAATCTCTTCCTCTATTCCCTAAAAGTACCAGAATCCCACCAGTATTACATCATGTTTTGACTGTAAATACAGAGGGCAAAGTTCATGTGTTTGGCTCAGATATTCTGTGGGTTTGCAGGGCTCATTAGCTGACTCTTCTACACAAGCTGCTTTGATTGGCTGCCAGCTGGCCTTGTCTTGCTTAGAGGCACAATATTAAAGGTTGCAATTCTCTCACTGATGCTCTCCTTTTTACAGATCTTAGAAACCAACCATACAGACGAGCCGATGCGGTGAGGAGAAGTGTCAGGCGGCGCTTTGATGATCAGAACTTGCGTTCTGTTAATGGTGCCGAAATAACCGTGTGAACCTGAGACCTGACTGAATGAATAGTTTGTGCATGAAAGAAGCTGTCCACATGAACTTTATGTGCCGCCATTTAACTGCAGCCTTGAACATAGATGAAGTATTCTAAGGGCTCAGATTTAGCAAACATAGGAATTTTAAAATGATGGGCCCTCCTTTCAACCTTTGTTAACAAGTGCCTAAAAGTGGAAGTACCTGCTCAGATTAATCAAAGCAATAGGATTGGATTTGATTAGGTATCTTTTTACACCAGTATGTTACTCAATTTTTTAATCAAATTGTAAATTTCCTATTACATGTATTACCTGCCATTGTGAATGTCCCAGGATGGCCCACCCTGGTTTCCTATGAAGTTGTAAATAAGATGGATGCCTCTGTGGGGGCTCCTTTGTTGAGATGTCTTTTAAGGAATTTTGTGTTTCAGTCATACCCACCAACTTTGTATTTTTAAGGGCTTGCAACATGGAAGGAGGAGGGAAAAGTCTCATGATAAACTTGTGTCCAAAACCAAGCCCTAGCAAAGTTCAGATAGATTGCAATTCCAGTAGCTCAGGATACTCAGCGGTCTCCTTTCACAGTCTGCTACCCTGTGCTAGTGTACCGTGCCCTCCCTGGGAGAGTCCCCGTATGAATGCAAGGATATGATGGCATACAAATCTTGCACAGTACTGTGTTCTTCATCTAGGGGCAGCTTTGAAAAGATAATGCAATATATTTATTAATTAGCACTAAAATTAACATCTCAGTAATCAGTATTAGGATTTCTGAGGATCATTATGGGTCAAAACTGAGAAGAGAAATCAGTGCCTTGCTAGCCAGGAATAAGTTCACTAGTTCTATCAACAGTGCTCAAGATTACTTCTGCTGGCAGAGAAGTGTTAGTCACCCAGCCTTACTCTCTGACAATCGGTTGGCTCCGAGCGCCCCCCCCCCTTCCTTTTGTAAGTTGAAGATATATTTGGCATCATATATCAAAGCGAAAAACTTTGTATTTCCCAGATTACTTTATGAGGAATTGAATATTCATGTTGGGATAAAGCTTAAATGATATATAATGGGACTAAATGGCCAACTAAGCCACTGTTACTTTTCCTTCCTCTGGCAGGGCACTCGATCCATTCCAAAGTCAAAAACTGGACTGAAGCTAATTTGTACTTTTCATAATATACATTCTGCTTCTGGCTTACCTTCTTGGTACATCACATCAGTATATTAATTGTAAAGTTTATTGTATAGTATTTAACCACTGAATTTCTTATTTTATGTTGTGCTTATGTGAACTCCTTGGTGAAGGTCCAATTTTCCTTGGATAATGTGTAGTTATATATGATCTCTTTTTAAATGTACAGATATTTTGCTATAAAATTGGTGCAGTTTTTTATGGTTTTTACACTTAATTCCCACCTAAGCCTCTGGGTAATATTGTAAATATTGTTTAAAAATGCATCGGCCTATGCTATACAATCTGAATGTTATTTTAACTTATAGTTTTTTTAATATATATATTTAACTACAAGGACAGTTTAGAGATCAGTTATCACATTTCACTTTAGCATACCTATTTACAGAAGGATTGCTTTTAAACAGCCACTTGCCAGCAAATTTTCATAAATGTGTACTTTTAAAAGAACATGCCAAGATTTTGTTTTTCTGTTGACTCAACATTAATTTTGACAATACCATGAGACACACAATACAAATTGGTCCTTTACCACAAGCAGCTGTTTCCCAAAGCTCAATGCTGATGAGCACATTAAAATCACTACTATTTATTAATCTCCAAGTAGACAATAATGTTGGAATGTTCTTTTCTGTTTGTCTATTAATAGGCCTGCTTCTTAGCAATATTAGGAATGTTTTATAAAAGCAGTTCATGTTACTTTTCTGGTCTTTTCATGGCATATGAGCAAATAAACTATTTACACCACTATCCTGTAACATGTTGTCGTCTTTCAATGGTATACTTTAGGGGTTTTGCCAGTTATCTTCTAGAAAAAGGTATGTCTTGGTGCTTAAACTCAGAATCTAAATGTATTCGGTAAATTTAGTAAAATCCGTAAAATCCCTTCCTGTACACTCTTGAGCACTTGCTGTACGGGACAAAGTAACCACTTAGATTTGGGTAGTGAGGGATACAGTTCCCAAATCATATTTATTCTTTCCAGTTATCATTGTAAAATTTAATTGATTGTTTTGGCATATTCTTCTTAAGCAAGGAAATGTAGTATTTCAGGAAACTGTGTAAGTGGCTTGAAAATACTTTAGAGGGCTGTAAATTAATCATTTAAGAAATTGTTGTTAAGTCTCTGTTTCCAACTCAGTGCCCTTTCTCTTGTACCAAATGGCTGAAACCTCACTTTAAAAAGGGAAGGGGGGCGGGGGGAGTTCAAGTCTGCAGTTAGGCTCTGCAGTTTGTTTTGTTGCAGGGCAAAGTGCTTCATAGTAAAAGAAATAAAGTCAGTATTGCACAAATTCAGGTCTTCAAACCCAAACTAGCAGGAAGTCAAATGAGGCCAGATAGGGCTAGGTTTAAGGGCACCGATGCACCAGTAGCATCCATTTTTTAAGGTGTTTACCAATGACCCAGAACTAAATCCCCTAGTTCCCACTCTCAAATCGCTAAACTCTAAGTCCTAATCCATTAAATTCACTGCAGTGAGTGTTCAGTGACCCTGCTGACTCAGCAGTGCTCTGCAAAGGGGGGTGACATGTACCATGGGATCTGCTGGGTTAGCACAGAATTTTACAGGACTACCTACTTGGGTACTGAAAATTATGCTTTTATAATATTGGATTTATAATTCACACATGTATTGATTTTAATATTTGATAACTCTTCTTAGCCTTATACTTATTTCCTAAATTATATCAGAAATGCCTGCAAAGATGAATCTACTATCATCCCAGTTCATAAAAAAAGGATTAATATATTAGCTTCCCATTTCTTTTAAACCTAATATCCCATCTGTTTCCAAGAAAAAATTTGAAGCAAAAACAAATGCATTATGAAATATTAATATACTTTTTTTTATCTTTTTACAGAGAAAAGCAGGTATTACACTGAGAAAACAGAATGTGGGCATCTAGCATCTCACAGCACAGAACTGCTGCATGAGGGGTGCTTAAAGGTAAAAGTTGACACAAAAACAACTTATTTAGTAAAAGATGTCATTGTTTTCTAATAAATTATATTTATTTACAAAAGGTCTAATTTTATATAACTGAAATTCTTTACATCAGAACAATATAGAAACAGAAAACCTGATAATTACAAACACAGAACATAGAAACCTTGTTCCCCTATTACTCACCTTTCAGAACAAGTCTTCGGTTTAGTTGTAGAGGTAAGCAAAAGACCAATACCTACGAAAAAGTTTGCAGGCATAACCAAAGGAAAAGATGTTTATAAATAGCACATTTAGATACCCCAAGGAACAGCATAAAAGGGCATCAAGAAATGGCTTAATTTTAAAAAAATAAAAAGAAGTGGCTTAGTCTGTATCTGATCTGATTAGGCAGTCATTCTGTTTCACAGTCTATGATCGAAAATGGGTCGGGGGAGTTTAGCTAGCTGCCCTGAAATGCAAACATCAACCTTACACCTAGCGCAAATGCCATTAAATTAAGTCAGTTATCAATTACTAACAGTGAGATGTCTTTGAACTAGATCCTGCTGAGTCACAAAAGCAGTTTTTATATAGTAAGTTTAAAAAGATTGCAGTTAAGGAATTTAGGTCATGTAGATAAGTGAAATAAAATGGAGGGCTGGGGGAATGAGAGTAACGGGAGCAAAATCTTCTCACTTCCCACCTCACAATTAAGTCAGCTCCAATAACACTGAAAACCTGTCATGTCACCATTATTCACTCCTTTGTCAAAAATAGCCTGAAAATATTAGTTCTCAGCTTGCAATTTAAATAGGAAGTTTGCTATTGTATCTCTTAGGGTTTTAAAGACCAAGTGATCTAGCTAAATGTTAATTCTTCAAATAAATTATACTTTTGAACTTGTATTATATAACATTAACTTATAATTACAAAGGCAAGTTTCAAATCATTACAGGGGAAGATTTCTTTACTCAAAAATCACATGGAAGCTCTATGTTCTGACAAGCTTTTGAACTTTTCTGAAGTAATGGTTAAGGTACAGTCACTAAAACTCATGTTCAGTGCACTTCAGTTGTGTATGTGGCTTTAGTCATGGGCTAGTGTGGTTTATTGCAAAGATGCTTTTTCAAGCCCTTTAATACAGATGGTAGGTAACATGTATGCTGGCTGAGTACATCTGTCAACTAATATGTTACATTCATTCAATAGATGCCTACTATGTGCCAGGCCCTGTGCTAATCAACAGAATACAGCAGTGAATGAAACTTACATAGGGACTAGACCACCCCTGAAGTCAAAACAATTGAAAACTTAAGAGCAAGGTAAGCATTAATAAGGGAAGTACGAATTACTAGATTGGTATTCAAAACCATAGAATGAGATAAGCCTATTGTTACAAGCCTATTCCAACAGTTCCATGAAAATCATTCATGATGTTACTTTGTTTCCTTTATGTGAAATCAATGCAGTTTTACATAGAGAATGTAAAAGAATTAAAATCTACGTCATACTGAGAGAGATACATCCCTAAGGGAAAAGTCTCAAATTTAAGATATTAGGAATTAATGTGCTTTTGCCTCATTTTGCTTTTAGAAATGTTTTAGTTATTTACTTTTATAAATCACACAATATACTTAAATATCCTACAAACTTTAAAAACAGCATTCATTACCCTTCTCTGGGTACTATTTGATTAGAAACCATTCTCCTAAATACATCTAGGTTAAAAAAAAAATCTTCACATAAAAGGGGCTCGCTCCCTCTTTTTTGATGCAAAAATTAAAAGTGCTACCTAGTCAACACTCAATTGACCATACCAGAAGCATCTAAGGCTAATGCTTCTTACAAAGCCCTTTGGTAACCGGATGAAAACTGGACCTTCTTTCCAGAAAAAAATGTACACAAATGTTTCAGGAGATTTTAGTCTCTTCACTATGAATTAAGACTGCCTTACTCTATCTAGGCCAGAGGGAAGAACGTCTGGCCCGAAGGCCTCATAAGGCCTATGAAATCATTTGGTCTGGCCCTGCCAAGGCATTAGGGGTGAGCTAATTAAATGTTTGGCCAAATATAGCAGGCTAATTTTTAAGTTGATAATTTTGTATGGCCCTCAAATGATGTTATAAATATTCAAATGTCCTTGGCAGGAAAAAGATTCCCCACCCATGATCTCTAGGCCAATGGTCGGCAAACTCATTAATCAACAAAGCCAAATATCAACAGTACAACGATTGAAATTTCTTTAGAGAACCAAATTTTTTAACCTTAAACTATATAGGTAGGTACACTGTTAACTAATTAGGGTACTCCTAAGGCTTAGGAAGAGCCACACTCAAGGGGCCAAAGAGCCGCATGTGGCTTGCAAGCCGCAGTTTGCCGACCACGGATCTAGGCCAATCCTTTTCATTTTATAGTATAATGAGGTCCAATTAGCAAAGTTATAGCATTTTGATCATTTTCAGGTTTACTGGGAGGGATAAAAAGTATTTTTGTTGAAAAACATGAATAACCTATATGCTGAAGCTACTTTTGGGCAATAAAAAAACATCATCATGTTTAAAAAAAATGTGGGACTTTTATTTGAAAATAATTTAAAAACGCTTGGGAAAAGTACAATGAATTCTTCATCCTTGACTGATTCAATTAACTTTTCACATAAATTCAATTTTCCCACATAGGGATTATAGACTGGGAGAAAATAAAAACAGCAAGTATTTGAAGTTCCTATTTTGACTATTATATTAAATGTATTAGTGAATTTAATCCAATAATTCATTAATATTGAGGGAAAATGAACCCTCAGCATTTGCCTTACTCTGAGAATTAAAAATATACATTCCCCTTATGTGAAAAGAAAAATGCTTTCCTGCTTGAACACATTTGTTCAAACCCTACTCAAACTGTTTCAACATCAAGTCTAATTGCAAGACATTTCAGCTTTTACAACCTATATCTTTAATCTAACTGGTTAAAAACATTCACAGAACTCTAGCTTTAACAAAATCTTCCCATCATCTGTGCTTTCAGACAGGACAATATCTTTCTAGCAACTAAATCTCTTTTGATGGGATAATCAAAGGGTAGTAAGACCAGGATTTTACTTTAATAGCATCTTTTTAACGAGGATGTTGTATTTAGAGATGTAATTTGTTCACTAGTTTTTTTTTTTTAGGTTAAATAATTTTCATGGGTGAACTATTGGGAAACGTGAATTTGTATTGTCTTATAGGGATTTGAGGTTGTGACACAGAAGTGCAGAAATTTATTTTGAGGACATGCTAAAACACATCAATAGCTTTTTATTTAAATAGAAAAATCAAAACTTTAAAGTTGTACTTAAAAATCATTCATAGAATTAAAACATTTTACAGATTCTAAATTCTCTTGTGAAACATCACTAGTATTTCTGCCAATATCATCTGCTTATATTAAAGTTCCTACCACTTCCTGTCAAGTGTTAGACATGATGTCAAGTGTTAGTTAGGCATGATTGGCAATATTAACTATCATTAAAATGGGACCTCTGAAAATTAAGTCTAGGTGAATCCCTGATTAATAAGTTATGTTTTGGTTCTAATATGCAAAAGGAGACTCAAGCAAGCAACTTGGTTACTTCCCATTTTCTAAAAATAATGGTCCTCATTTTCTACAAAGTCATGTCATATTTCACAGCAGAAAAATGTCTTGGCAGGGAGAAGTTTAGAAACAACACCCTCTTCCCTTATTTTTGAAGCATTCAACAGTGAACAGATTTAACTAAAATAGGGAGCAGAGATGGGAGTCATCCTGATTAGTCCCACTTTTCAAATTCACTAGGATGATG